AGGGTTACGTAATGACTGTTCTTTAGTCTTTTTGATGATGAGTTTTGATCGTTTAGTGTTGATCGTTTCCTTGATGATAGGATCAATTTCCGAAGTAGAGTAGCCTCGCTTTGATAAGTGCGTCTTGAAGTCATTAAGTGTTGCATGTAATATTTCAGGGTCAGTGGTGTTTCTTGCATGTCTAATGCATTCTCCTTTAATGAATCCTTTAAACACAGCCGGGCTATGAGCGCTCTGTCTGTGTAGATATTGAAAGTTATTTGTTGGTTTGATAAAGGACTTGATATCAAGTTTGTTAAAATTTTGAAATTTCTGTCCTTTATAAACTGTAGTATCAAGGAAGTTGACAGCAGATGGAGAGATTTCAAACGTAAATCTTAGATGTTTGTGACACTGATTGCCGATATTAAAGAATTCTTCTATCTCTGGTTGCGTTCCATTGAATATTATGAAACCGTCATCACGGTATCTGCCGTGGAAAACAATTTTGCTGGCATGACGAAATTGTGCCATTATATGCTTTGTAATTTGATACATTCTGATGTCGCAGATCTCTGGACTGGGGACTGCCCCCATACTTGCTCCTATTATTTGTTTGTAATATTTTCCGTCGAATTCAAAGTAATTGTTTTCCAAGACGCATTTCAGTAAGAAGTTTAGATCCTCAGGGTCCGGATATGGAATGTCTAATTGCGTTTTATTGGCCTGTGTGTAAGCCTCATTTATTGATGAGAGAAGCTCGTTGAATTCCATGTTTGTGTACATGACCCTGAGGATCTAAACTTCTTACTGAAATGCGTCTTGGAAAACAATTACTTTGAATTCGACGGAAAATATTACAAACAAATAATAGGAGCAAGTATGGGGGCAGTCCCCAGTCCAGAGATCTGCGACATCAGAATGTATCAAATTACAAAGCATATAATGGCACAATTTCGTCATGCCAGCAAAATTGTCTTCCACGGCAGATACCGTGATGACGGTTTCATAATATTCAATGGAACGCAACCAGAGATAGAAGAATTCTTTAATATCGGCAATCAGTGTCACAAACATCTAAGATTTACGTTTGAAATCTCTCCATCTGCTGTCAACTTCCTTGATACTACAGTTTATAAAGGACAGAAATTTCAAAATTTCAACAAACTTGATATCAAGTCCTTTATCAAACCAACAAATAACTTTCAATATCTACACAGACAGAGCGCTCATAGCCCGGCTGTGTTTAAAGGATTCATTAAAGGAGAATGCATTAGACATGCAAGAAACACCACTGACCCTGAAATATTACATGCAACACTTAATGACTTCAAGACGCACTTATCAAAGCGAGGCTACTCTACTTCGGAAATTGATCCTATCATCAAGGAAACGATCAACACTAACCGATCAAAACTCATCATCAAAAAGACTAAAGAACAGTCATTACGTAACCCTACAGTACTGGTTACTAAATTTAACCCTTGCGTTAAAGGACTGAAAAAACGAATTCTGAAATATTGGAACACCATTCTTAGAAATCCAGAATGCAAAACTTTATTTAATTCTCAACCAATCATTGCTTACAGCAAACACAATAATATAGGTGACGAGATAATCCGGTCTCACCTAAAACAAACACCATGATTTATGTCCGTGACCCCTGAAGAGGCTTCTTAATAGCCGAAACACTCTACAACTACTTGCATAATTCAAATCAGATATTAATCTGCTCTATGCAAAAAATCATATCTACTAAAAGTGTGGTTTGGAGTGTCGGGTCCTAATAAATCTCTTACAAGTTTGGTTGATTGATGTCGCTAATTTTCACACAAATGTTATAAATTGGTATCGATTTTTAGTGATTTTTTGGGGACATATAATTAAGTCATGGAGCAGCAAAATCTTCGACGTCACAGGCATTATTAAAAAAAATGTGTGATTGAGCTTTCATTTTCTCAACATTCTCTCAAGCATGCTAAGAGTACAGTTTTAGTTACCTTATCTACTCAACATCCAGACACCATTTCTTGTCAAGCTTTAAATTGATTAAACAAGTAAAGAATATTCTTTTTTTGTTTTAAAACGAAAAAATTCAGGTATTTATGAGATATAGTATGATACCGGTGACTCTCAATCACGTTCTTTACAAATCGGATAAAGTTTTCGTCGATAATCGTCCTCCCGTCCTCCCGTATAGCCTCTTTACAGAGGTCTAACGGTCTAAGATTTCAATTTGCTATTTGTGGACGAATGTTAACTACATGTTTAATTATGCATATTTTGGATATATGTTGGCGATATCTCGAGCATCATACGCAATTTAACAAAAGTGTGGTGCGCCGTCAATTCAGGAGACGTCATTTTCACAGTCGTTTCACGGGAATCGCATCGGAGGAAAACCTCTGTATTTCTATTAGCACTTAAAATACTATGTCAGAAATCTAAATACATAATAATAGAATAATTTAAAGATACATTTGTGAAAATTGTCGAAAAATATCGCAAATTATTGAAACTTAACGAGTCAAATTTTAGATTCCGCATGCTTTTGATTCAATTTTTTTGTCGTGCTCCGTACCCCTCCATCAGCGATATCAACATACCGATAATTTTACCAGAATTTTTTTAAATACAGAAATTTTGCCCAAAATTTGTTGGAATCTTTAAGATACATATTTCTTTGAAATTTCATAACTGTATGACGTCTGTAAGAGTAAATAATAGCACAGTCCGCATAATTTTGAACGGCCCGCGTATGTATTCCGGTTTATTCAATGCGCAAGCTTATGTCCTACTTCGAACGAATTATCTTAAAAGAAGTCCAGGCTACTGACAAATAGGCTGATGATACAAAGGTTCCAACAATCTCGGTTGAAGTCAATATTCTAAAATTCTGTGATTGATAGGTATAAATATTTATTTGCAAATACCATCTGTCATGACAGTTGTTGAGGGACATTTTTTTCAGAAAAAAATTAAGGCTTTTTTAACATTGAATTGCCTACGAACCTCTCTGTTTACCAGCTCTTCTTAAGAGACCCATGGTATATATGAACGGTCAATATGGATACTCACTCCAGACGTCCGTATTTGTTCTTCTTACAATGTGTAAATCTTTAATGAAAATTCGAGTACAATTACTTTTAGTTCATTTCACTTTCCACTTTCATTTTCAGTTTATATTGAATTAAGTATACACAATCAAATATATGTCATCCGGAAGTTCTATACAAGACATCTTGCTAATAACGTTGAACAATTTTAAGCCCTTACAGTAACTTTACTCATCAATTTTTCGATTTGGGATGTTGTTTCGTGAACTTAATTTTTAGCATATTTTTTTTTATTTCAACAGGTCTGGTACAATCACTAACTTTAGCCATGTGGCTTAAATTACCTAGACATACCTTTACTTTCCTATCTGAGGTAGCTTTAGTTAGCAACCAAATCAAACTTTTTTTCTTGAATCAACATTTTTCTCTGGATGTACACAAAATCGCACATTGATGCAGTGATAATTGTCAACCCTGACCTCATCTGATATCAATTCATGAAAAGGTTACTCTTGAAGATGGGTCTTTTTTGCGCAATTGCAGTCAGAGTATGAAATGTTTTGGGCTATATACAACAGTTAATTTGTGAATAAACAGTTACTTCTTGAATGCACTAACAAATGAGATCAGTTCTGGTTAACATGATATTGGATTGGTAATTATTCAAGAGAATGTTAAGTGATCATACTTAACAATGCCTCACCTAACACACCGGTGGACAGTTACTCAAACAATAAAAATACATTTTTTTGCGTTAAAGTCTTAAAATGCAGCAATGCATAATCTATATTTATTTTGGATTGATTTTTTAAACACACCTAGTATGAATATTTGTTGCCAGTTATTTGCGAGTTTATTTGTCTATATTAAACAAAATCAAATTTCTGAAAATTTGGATTGAAATAACTAAATAAAGCTACCAGGAGTAGGTAATAAATGCAAAGGTAGGTAATTCTACCTACAAAACTAAATGTACTATATATACTCGACCTGTCCAACAAAAAAGTAATTATATCACCAAAACGATTGTTTATTCATTCGAATGAAGACTGAATTGATTTTATATTTTGTAAAGATGCAGACGAAATGACGAACACAGAAGATATTTGTTTCAAATTACTACTAGTATTTTAACTAAAGAGCTTTATCCTGATTAGTTATAAATTAAGTAAGTAGTATTTTTTTTTTATTTTATTCGTAAGTTATACCAATCCAATAAAGTTAAAGTAAGCTGTTATGATTAAAAACACGCTTATATTGAATTAATATTCATGTCAAATACAATATTAATATTCACTAACAAAGTAAACACTTTGAATTCATTTTTTAACGTTTATGGGAGGACAAAATTTCCCGCAAAACCGTAACCATCAGCAATCCGATGACCATAAACAATAAGTCCAAATTGTGATGCATCAGATGTTGACAAAACAATAGTTCCACTTTGGACTTTTAAGGTACGAACACTGAACGATTTTGCTAATGTCAATGCGCTCTGATATACAACGGTGTAATGATATACAGAAAATCCGTTAATGCGTAGGTTGTTCAGAGATTGCGATGGAACAATCAAGCAGATAAAATTTTCTGCATATCCTGCTGGTACAGCTACCTTGTAGTAATCGAGATACTGGTGGATTCCTGGTACGACCGTCATGTACGGATGATAATTACTGGACTTATTACCCATTCCGAAAGCAGTAACAAGGACAGGTTGATCTGATTCTATAACTGTTGTCACATTTGAAGTTACTTCAATATTCTTGTATCCTTTTTCATTTAAATGAAAGTTTGAAACGCTGCTTCCAACACTTGAGTTAACTGAACTACCATTCTCACTAAGTACTTGAATTAAAGTCCCGTCATTGGTGTAGAAAGGAGGTATAATATATTTAGTATCTATTTCGGTTGTCGGAGGAAGTTGTGTTACCATGTGACTGCAACCATATTTCAAACGCTGACATCTATTTCCAGAGAAAACTGTGACAGGTTTGTTGGACGTTATGAAGGAGCCGGAGAGATCTGTGGTATGCGCAATTTGTAATGTATCAAATCTTTCTAACATCACGTTGAAAACATCTCCGTCTCTGTATGATTTACCCTGTATAGTGAGAGGAGTGTTGTCCTTAAATTTGAATGTTATCTCTACAAATGTCCTGTTATAGAGTGCACCTATAGCAAACTGACTATAGTAATAACTTTCCGTAGTATATGGGTCAGTTGAAGAAATAATATATTTGTTCGAGAGTTTCCTTGTTGGAATTATAAGTGTCCCATCATTTGTGTCCATACCAAAACGATCAAAGATTGTTATAGATGATAATTCAGAGGTCTGTAGTATTAAACCTTTAGGTTCAACAGTAAAATATTCACAAACAAGGTCTATAGGGAGACCTAGCGTTAAGCTGGACGTAAAATTAATAACCGATTTAATGTTTGCATTCAAACGAGGAGATGTAAATATTTTAATTGTTGTTTCATTGTCTGTCGTTATGTAAACACTCAAGTTCCCCATCGCTAAAAGATGATTTTTCATAAATAAGATCAGAAACTCCTCACCTCTACTACCTGCAATTCAAATTTGTAAGAATGTAAAATACAGGTAGGTGATCATGTGCTTGATTGAATGTTAAAAATGTAGAATGATTTACCCATTGATCTTGGTACTTGAGTACTTGATGGTGTAAGTGTTGTTGTCGATACCAATAAGGAACCTGGCGTGGAAGGAGGATGGGTCATATCACCGCCTACACATGAGAACATTGCATGAATTATTTTATTTTATTATTCACATACTACCTTCAATTCATTTCAATTTCTACTTTTTTTTAAATTCAATTTTATTAAAAAGTCGAGAGCTGTCTTCTATCTATTAAAAAGTGCTTTGGTCATGCATGTATGTCTGGTCGTTCACACACAAAATTAAATACGACTTCCATATGTCACAATACTCTCCAGAGTAATATTTGTTGCTTGCATTCATAATACGAAGTGTATGGTATTCCTGCTTAACCATGATAAAAACAATTAAGTCTGCACTATTTAAACATTGCATTGGATATTGATATAATTTATCACAGTCCTGTTGTTTTCTGAAGAAATATTTTCCTATTATATGTATATAATCTCTTTTAATGCTTTGCTCCCCCATTTAGGCCCGATCCAACCATCAGGGCCATGATATGAAATTAGGAAAATTGATGTACCTCTCTTATTAGAATATACAAATATTGTAGTTCTAAAGACGCTTTGAGGGTTTCGCTATAAAGGATAATGTACCATACCCCTCCCCCTCCCTGTGAATTGACAAAAACTAAATATCCAAATTTTACTCCATGTTTTGCATGTACTTAATCACTGATGTTTGTATCTTAATTGAATAGTACTTTTACTAAAAACAGAAACGTAATTTGGAAGATATAAATCTCTTTTCCGAGGAGGAGTAACAAGTTTACATCTGAATCCCATTACATTCTAAACCGCTTCATTTTATAAAGCCCTTAAAATACTGTTAATCACGAGGGTTTGAATTTCGCTATGTTTGCGATTTATCATTTTTCCGCGAAATTAAACCCGTCAGGAATGTCAGGATTAGTTCTTAAAAGCGTTTTTTTTAATTTTATTCGAAATTTTTAATTTATATCTTGCAGCGTGAAAATAAAACTATCGCAATTGGCACTTTTTCAGATTTTGAAAATTAAAATGACTTACAGTATAAAAACTAAAAAAAAATACATTTTTCGTTTGACCAGTTGCTGTAATTATTGATATCTACTTATATATTCAAGGGGGAAATTTTTCTTACTGCGCTAAAATGTTAAAATTGTGATTAAAACATTGTCAAATATAGCTTGCTTTCCCAATAATAAACAGATCGATGATATATTTTTTTCTAACGCAAGAATCAATTCATATGATAATTGAGGTACTGGCAATAACTTCCGACTGACCAATCAGCTAAATGAGTTAATTGCATAACAATCGAGTACTCAAAAATACTGAGAATGTATACTTTGAAAAAAAAGGCATTAAAACTTGCTTTCCTAGAAATAGAGTCAAATGCTGACTGACTTTTTTGATTCTAATTGTTAGTCAAATATTTATACACTGAATTGACGACGGATTTTTCCGATATTTCACGATAATGACAAGGAGCACACGGCGGTAATGACCGGTCGGAAGGGCATGCTCACTCCTCCATCCATGGCACCTGATCCCACCTCTGATATTTTGGAGGTCCGTGTTTTCAATTCTCCTGTTTTGAATATTGCTCGTCATTTTCACGTTTCAGATTACGGTTCTCGGTAAATGAGTAAATGGGTAGATTCCTTGGACGTGCATATCTTTTTATTGAACTAGGACATGCCTATTCTCTTTTCATAAAAGAACATTTTTTTTCAAACCAGGCCGCATTCTGTTGTCAGGAGGTCAAAAAATAAGAAAATAATGGAGCAATCCTAACAAATACATCTATCGGAACTATTGAATCGATTCAAAAGGCGTTGTATTCATTAACTCTTTTTTGAAAACTATCAAAATAGTTGTAGAATAAATTAAAGAGCCATTCTCTGTAATGACTTGAATTTTTATATAGGAGCTGTGGCACGCATAGTCTCAGATTTTCTCCAAACTCTCTATGATAAAAGTCATTGATACCCTAAACTGAAATCAGGCAAAAATTGGTTGCTATGTTTTATAGTTACCATGGCAACTTGTCTTAGAGTTCGAAAAATGGCATTTTTAACATGTTTTAGAGCCCCATAGTTAACATTTGCGGCAAAGCAAACAATTGGCAGTGACTGTTTCCAAAAGTTGAAGGTCAGATGTCTCAAATGCATGATGAACATGTTTGGTAAATCAACTATTACATACGTTACTATGGTAACAAAGTATTCAAAAGTAAAAAAAAAATTCATTAAATTTTATAAAGTCATACACGTAAAAATAGAAAGCAATTATAGGATGAAATGTGACCAAATAATAGAAAAAAAAAGCCTTGAAACATATACCAAGAACAAAATATGATATTTCATTTTGGTTGGCAATGGTTGCCAAGGTTTTTATACCACAGGGAGCCTTCAAAGTAACACTCTGTATGTTTAAATCTGATCCTATCTTTAAAAAAAGCACATTTCCTCATAACTAATGATCAATTTTATAAGATATTGGTGTGCTCCAAGTTTTCCCATTTGAAAATATTCAGATTAGATTCTTTAAATAGAGCGTTGCTATGGAAATAAGCAGAAAAAATATGCTTAAAAACCTAAAAAAATATTTTCTTTCCTTGGATACGTACCCTTAAATGTAGATTCCCAAAACTTTTATGATTGATAATTATAAACAGCTAACTTGACTTTTAATTTTGACTGTCATCCAATCTCTAAGTGGATGCAAGAAGTTGGCACACAGGGTTTAATATTGATATAAAGTTCACAAAATCGAACATTTTCCCTTCTTGGTAACCATAGCAACAGTGTTGTTTTATTCATCAAATTTAATCAATATTTGATATTCAACTTCATTTCTAACAGATAAGTACTTTTCAAGCTGATTCCTTTAATTTGTTTCTTGATTAAACGGCAATTTAATTCTTAATGCAGCGAAAAATAATGCACTTTTAAGCACTGGTACTTTGTTTCCATGGTAACACTGCAAAGTAGCATTTATACCCAATTTTTCTTATGGTTTTGGTATTGCAAGGTCCTAAGGATGCATATTTGCCAATCTTGAATTTTCATGTTTTTCCTCGAGACAGTAGCATTATCCCAATCTTAGTTACTAGTTTTGCATGGTTACACTGTGTTACCATGGCAACCATAAAAGTTATTTATAGAATAAAATTGCTCATTCTTATATACTTAAGGTCAAACATTTTCATTGTTTTTCTTAAGTCGTTGATTGAGTTTGAGCATGTAACACCTACCATTAGTGAATACGGAGTGTTTTGCAGCATATTTCAGCATTTTAAATGTATTCCAAATGTACCCTTGGTTACCACTTACTTAGAGATATATTCTAAACAGTTTCTTTACAGTTTAAGTGACATCAAGGTGTCATGTTTTTGTGAGAATGGTTTGTATGCTTTTTCTGGTTTTTATTAAGCCACGGTCAAGATTTAAAGTGGCTGAAAATCTCGATTTTTCATACTTTTCTGGCTGTTACCATAGCAACCGAGACACATAGCAACGAAATTTTGTTTGACATTTGTTTCTGGTGTCAAGTACTAAGCATGGGTGAAGATTCATCAAATTCGGTGACTATGTGTGGCAACGAAGTTTAAGTGGTTACAGAGAATGGCTATTAATTTGCTGGATAAAAAGGGGGCGGCATACATTAGTCTTTACACATCACCCTTTATCTTTTAGGCTCATCTTGTTACCAGAGAACATCATGTGAACAATTCCGTATCTTCTCAATGTTCGGAAGCATTCACATAAAACGTTTTTCTGACTTAGGACTTCTTGATAGGACTTAAATATAATTGTCCAATTATCCAATGACTCTTGCCAATTCTTGATTATCATACTTTGAAAAACTTGACAAACTTAAAAATTCCCTTCATATAACATGTATAACGATACTTTGCTTTAAGTTTGAATGAAATTATAGAGAGATAGGCCAAGTAGTTTACGATGACGACGGCAACAACGAAAACGACAGACAAAGGAAAATTATTGATCATAAAAGCTCACTTGATCCCTTGGTTCAGATATGCTATCGACTAAATATAGCAGGACAGAAACGTTAAAATGAAAATACCATAACACTGAATTCTACACTGTGATTTTATCACATAGATGGTAATAATAGAACAGATATATTCCTTAATTCGGTAAAGTAATGGCTTATTTTGTAAGAAAAAAATATTTTCATCCATTCTACTTTTGCAAATTAAGACTTGAAGCAGATTATAAATCTGCAGTATTTATTGACTACCATTATTTTATGTATTTCAGTAGAACTTTTCCACTGCAGTGTATATCAAATGCTTTAGTTCCTTGATGCTTACATTCATCATTACATAAATCAGCCAGACAGCATTTAGAACAGCTTTGAAGATTTCGTTTTCCAAATACATCCACATCCGATGTGCAAGCCTAAAATAAAATACTTATCCTGTTAACAAAGTTGATACTGAAATTTTTATTGAAATAAGGTCATTCGTAACGGAGATATACTACTATATTGCTACACTTCCATAAGACCAGATAAATCAATGACAAAGTAGGTTCGTGCCCTGATAAAGTATTTAGATAAGAAACATCGATAATATGCAAGCTTCGTCGCAAGCTACCAGTATATCAGTACGCAAAATTCTCATACAAAGTACAGCTTCAGTAGAATTTTAATCATTGTGCATTGAAGTTTGCCTATTTTAAGTAAGTTAATGGTAAATTTGCTACTTCCATCATTTGTTCGCCAACGAAAAGAAGATTATTTGTAGTGTGGCAGCCAACAACACGCAAAATGCTAATCCAGATGCTAGATGGATGCTGATACTTATTTTCCTTGTGCAAGTTTTAAATGCGAAGTCTGATTTGTTTTAAAATTAGTTGCTTTTACTTGAATTAATGAAATCTTCAAATTAGAAAAAAATAGTCGTACGTAAACAATTTGATAAAACAAAAAGTCTCATTTAAAGTCATCATTTCGTAAGTTATATGGTCGATACAATGACCTTGTCAGCAAATACAGTCTATCTTTTAGTCAAATGCTCATAGATATTTTTATACAAATTGTTAGTCCATTATTTAAACACTGAATTGACGCCTGAATTTTCCGTTATTTCCCGATCATGATAAAGAGCACAGCTCAGGTTTGACCGGTCGGCGGGGGATGCTTACTCCTCTTTGGCACCTGATCCCACCTCTGTTGTTTCAGAGGTCCGTGTTTGCTCTGCTCCTATTTTGTATTGGTTTATGGACTTTGATATAAAAGATTGTTCGTTATCTTCATATCCTTCATGTATAAGAGATTGGCCCTATGTATGGAAATCATACTTTTCCACTTAAAGTATGGCAAAGGATATTGGAATAAAATTAAAACAAGTAATTATCACCCTGTGACATAATAAACAAATAAAGTATACGAAATATAATATGTAGAAGTCAAAAAGTGTTCCAGCTCAAAAGTCCATTAAATAATACAAAATAGGAGCAGAGAAAAAACACGAACCTCCAAAATATCAAAAGTGGGATCAGGTGCCATGGAGGAGTCAGCTGTATGCTTCCTGTCATGTTTGGAAAATAACGTTAAAACCCATTGATATTTCAGTGTGTAAATTAATGACCTAACAATTTGTATGCAAAACGTCAGTCAACAATTTTATTTGCTGAAAAGGTGATTGTATATAAATGTGCCATACAACTTTAAACATTTTGAGTTTAAACGAGACTGCTTATATTTTGGTTTCATCAATTTGTTTGTCAATAATAAACCTCATTTTAGAAATTGTACCTTCCTACAAACATATATTCATACAGCATTAATACAGCATGCTTGTTTGTTATTCTAAGACATAAAAAGAATAACAATCCTTACATGTTTGTTGATGCAACTTGACATGAAGAGGACGTCACCAAATTCTATTTCCTTCTGAAGATAGCACACCTTTAACATTATAATTATTTAAGTTAGAAAACCATTTACAACATTAATGTATAGGTCACAAGGTTATTGGCCTTGGTGTTATTTGAAAGAAATTAATTAGTGAATATGCATAATATATATGAAGTGTTTATATAGA